GGGGGGAGAAATCTCCTTCTTCACCCTTATTATTTACTCCCCATTTGGTGTTGGGGATCCTTAAGAACCCCTGCAAGGAGCCTAGCAAAGTGGGTGCATGCACCCCTTTAAGGCTGTCCTTTGCACCCCTTGGACATTCCCCAATTTTGGAGGGGGATTTTCTCCTACTCCCATTGTCCCATCAGAAGTTACAGGGCCCTTGGTAATTGCTGCAAGGCAAGGGGGGTGCAGGCACCCCTTTAGGGCTATTTTTGCACCCCTTAAGCATTCCCTGTTTTTTGGGGGGCTCCCCATCTGGATTTAGGGGCCCTTGGTAACCGCTGCAAGGCACTTAGCAAGACGGATGCATGCATACACTTTCAAGGCTATACTTTGCACCCCTTAGAAATTCCCTAATTTAGAGAAGGGGCCAATTTTGGACCCCTTGGCCCCAAATTAGTGGGGTTCCCCTCTTTTACATGCTCTGACCCCCAGCTCCACTCTTGTCGTTAATCCACATCTCCTTAATCCACTCCTGATTTAAAATGGGATGCTGAGGATTTTATGTATCTTAGTATCTGTTATGTATATTTACAGTGTTACATTTTATTGTCTCTGTCTCTGATTGTATATGTTTGATGTTGTTACAGCCTTTGATGGAAAGGAAGTCTTAACTCAACATTATTGTTGCTGTTACAATTCAGCTCTTTTCAAGCTTTTTGCTTTGAGGCCAAAAAGGGGACCAGTTTTTGGGGTGTTCTTCTTTTTTAAAGCATTTTCTACAGCCCTGTGCTGACCCAAAGCATTTTGCCATCTATGACAGTCTGCACTGCAGAAATAACCCATTTTGACACCTCTTTAATTCTGGGATTTGTAGACTGGTGAGATAGTTACCCTTCTCTGTCACAGAGCTCTGGTGCTGCAACAAACTACAATTCCCAGAATTCCATATCTGAGCCATGGCAGTTAAAGTAGTGTCAAACTGGATTATTTTTGCAGTGCGAATGCAGCCTGAGACACAGCAGTTAATGGGCTCCACCCCTCCCAGTGCTAAACTGGTCAATTATGGAAATGTAGACCCCCTCCTTGACTGTCTTTATACCGATGCCTTAAAAGAAAATGCAGGCCAATGTTTTTGATCAATACTTATAATAGTAATACAGGTTGAGTCTCCCTTATTTGGAATTCCAAAATCCAAAATGGTCCAAATAGGTGGCTGAGAAACCTTTGCTTTCTAATGGTCCAAAGTACACAAACATCGTTTCATGCACAATTTCTTAAAAAATATTGTGCATAAAATTTGTGAAATTTTGTATTTAGACTTGGGTCCCGTCTCCAAGATATTAGATGATGTACCTATATGCAGATACAGATACTCCGAAAACAACCTGAAGCCCAAAACACTTCTGGTCCAAAGCATTTTGGATAAGGGAGGCTCAGTCTGTATTAGTTTATTTGTCCAGGGCTATCACTGTATATGGCACTATACAAGTAAAACAACAAAAAAGCAGCCAACCCTGCCAAAGGCATTTGTTGTTGTTGTTGTTGTTGTGTAGTTCAAGTCATTTCCAACTTACGGTGACCCTATCACAGGTTTTTCTTCACAACATTCATTCAGAGGAGGTTTGCTATTGCCTTCCCCTGAGGCTGAGAGAGTGTGACTTGTCCAAGGTCACCCAGTGGGTTTCCATGACTGAGAAGAGATTCGAACCCTGGTCTCCAGAGTCATAGTCCAACACTCAAACCACTATTCTTACAGAATATATTAAACCAGAATATACTAAAAACACAGAGAAATGCAAGGGCACCAAAAACTCCCAAGTTCTCCTCTGTTTCTCCAGGTTCGGCCATGATGCTGCTGTTGCCCCTTGGAGCATCCTGACCCAGCGCACTTGGAATTGTGGGAAGATCCTGAAGCCACAATGGGCCACCAAGTCTCTAGCCACCCGAGGCTGGCCATAGCTCTTCTGCTATCCGTTTGTGGGATCCGTCTGGCCAATGGTGGTGACTGCAAGGGACACCGGCAAGTCCTTCGTGGTGCGTCTGGCTACGTGACGGACGGTCCGGGCAACTATTCTGTCAATGGCAACTGCGAATGGCTAGTGGAAGGTGAGAACTGGAGGAGAGGCGTGGGGAAAAGACCCGAGCAAAGCCATGCTGTGTTGAAGAATAGGCAATACAAAACCATATGCAAAGGGCAGAATAACTTGCAAGTATGGATGCATCCACACTGCAGAAATTATCCAGTTTGACACCACTTTAACTGCCGTGGCTCAATGCTACAGAATTCTGGGAGCTGTAGTTTATTTCTGGCCCCAGATATCTGACAGAGAAGGTTAGATGTCTTTGCAAAACTACAGTTCCCAGAATTCTATAGCTTTGAGCCATGGCAATTAAAGCAGTGTCAGACTGCACTATTTTTGCAGTGCGGATGCAGCACATAAAGTACAGGTTGAGTCTCCCTTGTCTGGAATTCCGAAATCCAAAATACTCCAAAATCCAAACTTGTCCACCTGGGTGGCTGAGATAGTGACACCTTTGCTTTCTGACGGTTCAAGGTACACAAACCTCTTTCATGCCCAATAATATTTAAAATGTTATGTATAAAATTCCCTTCAGGCTATGTTTATACTGTATATGAATCATAAATGAACTTCATATTTAGACTTGGGTCCTATCTCCATATGATTCCTCCTTATGTCTATGCAGATATTCCAAAATCTGAAAAAATCCAAAATCCAACAAACTTCTGGTCCCATAACTTCATTTCTGTTTCATGCACACCTTAAACAGGTTGAGTCTCTTATCTGGAATTGCATAGTCCAAAATATTCCAAAATCCAAAATTGTCCATATGGTTGCATGCGGCAGTGACACCTTTGCTTTCTGATGGTTCAGAACTTTGTTCCATGCACAACATTATTTAAAATGTTGTGTATAAAATTAGCTTTAGGCTATGTACATAAGGTGTATAGAAACATAAATGGATTTGGTGTTTGGACTTGGGTCCCATCTCCAAGAGATCTCCAAAATCTGAAAAAGTACAAAATACAAAACTTTTCTAGTCCCAAGCATTTCAGAAATTAAGAGAGACTCATACTGTAAGAGGAATAGATTGGTATTGAACTATATTCTTGCTGTGTTATGCTTATAACTTTATACGCTCACCTTGGGAATTGTCCTTGTTGTTATCTGCTATGAACTTAGCTGCAAGATATGGAGACCTCCAAGGTCTTCTTGTCATGAATAGCCCTGTTCAGATCCAGTGGGTCATCTCATGGCGTGGCCAAAGTACAACAGTTTTCTGACCCTTTCCTCTTCCTTCCTGCCTTCGCTTAGCTCCCAGCAGCAGCTACCGCATCCTCCTCACCTTCATGTTTATGGACACGGAGTGTACCTACGATTACCTCTTTATTTATGATGGAGATTCCCCCAGTAGCCCTTTGCTGGCCAGCCTCAGCGGAAGCACCCTTCCTCCCACTATTGAGGCCACCTCTGGAAAGGTACGCCTCCCCCGGAGGGTTTGGATTTGGGGTCAGGTCTCCACTGGGCAGGGAGAGCATAGATCTGGGAGCTTTCCCCATTCTCAGTCCCTTAAAGTTGGTGCGGTCTCACATCTTTTCTTTTCTGGCTCGGCAGATGCTCCTGCACCTCTTCAGCGATGCCAACTACAACCTTCTGGGCTTCAATGCTACTTACACAATTTCTCTCTGTCCGAGGGGCTGCTCCGGATGTGGGCGATGCGACAGTGATGGACGATGCGCTTGCTTCCGGGATTGGGGCGGCGAGGACTGCTCAGTGCCCGACTGTGCCACCTATTGCCAGAACCATGGCACCTGCAGCCAGGTAATGTCTCCCACCTGTTGCCATCTGGGTTGGCTGCATGGTTGGAATTCAGAGAGGTGTGTTTCATGGTGTGTTTTCATGGGCAGAACAAGTGGGTCATGGCACTGGTATTTGTCCAAGTTGTAGGTTGCAGGTTGGAGTTGTGTGGACTCTCAGTATTCCTCACTATTGGCTAATGGGAGTTGCAATCCCACAATGTCGTGAGTTCGGTCCCAGGGCTCCAGGTTGACTCAGCCCTCCATCCTTTTGTAGGTTGGTAAAATGAATACCCAGCTTGTTGGAGGCAATTGGCTTACAGATTGTAAACCGCTTAAAGAGTGTTGAGTTCACTATGAAGTGGTATAGATAGTCATCCATCAACATTTGGAGAAAGGCAATGGGATCTTTCCACCTGCAGTTGGTTGTTTATTCAATAATATCAATAATTCAATAATATCTCTTTTTACTTTTGGAGATCTTTACCTAGTTCCTTCCCAGCAGCCCTTCCAAGCCTTTCCCTCCTTCTGACGTTTTGACTACGGTCTCAATTTTCTTCAACCATCGAGTCGAGGTATAGAAAATCTTGGAACGACAACCTTGATCTCTGCATCCGTCTGATGGCTTGCCCTTCTTTCTTTCTGCCACGTCTTTTGCAGGAGTCTGGGCGCTGTCAGTGCCAATTGGGATTTGTGGGCCAGGCTTGCAACTTAGCCCTGAGCGAGAACCAAGGAGCCGGAAAGTGGTACAACGTCAGCGACCGGGACCCCAGTTTCCGTCCCCGAACGGCTGCCGCTGGGGCTTTCCTGCCCTCCACCGGAGGACTGTACATCTTTGGAGGTAAGAAGTCATTTTCTGGTATTACAATTGGCCCTCCATATTTGCAGCTTTGACTTTTGCAGATTTGATTTTGTTTTGCAGATTTGAATAAGTGTTTTTTTAATTTGCAGTTTTCCCATATTCATGAGGGTCCTTCACCCCTAACCCCTAAAAACGTGAAGGGACCATTGTATTCTCTTGTGATAGAACCAAAGCTTGGAGGAAATGTATTTGTTGTTGTGTGCCTTCAAGTCGTTTCCGACTTATGCCGACCTTATCATGGGGTTTTCTTCACAAGTTTCATCAGAGGGGTTTTTGCCATGGCCATCCTCTGAGGCTGAGAGAGTGTGACTTGCCCAAGGTCATCCAGTGGGTTTGCATTGCCGAGCCGGGATTTGAACCCTGGTTTTCAGTGTCATAGTATGACGTTCAAACCACTGCGCCACACTGGCTCTCTGACAGGGAAGGCTAAATGTTTCACAAAACTACAGGTCCCAGAATTCCATAGCATGGAGCAGGGCACTTAAAGCAGTAGCAAACTGGATTATTTCTGCAGTGCAGATGCAGCCATGGTAAAAAGTATGAAACTGCCCAGCAGTCCCTCTTCCTTTGCTTGCTTGCTGAGGCCAAGTGTCCTCCTTTTCTCATTATGTGTCCCCAGGTTTGGACCTCAACACACCCCTGGGAGACCTTGTCTTTTACAACTTCACCACCAACCTCTGGCATCGACGGGTGCTCAGCCCGTCCCCGGTAAGTACTACGTCTCCCATGATGCATCAGTCCCACGAGTGGAAAATGGAGGAAGGTCTCCCCTGTAGACATCAGTCTTTGTTTTGGGGATCTTCAGGACAATATCTTCCAGTGTCAGAACATAACCTCTTAGGTTTTGTAGAGAGGCAGGCATTGGCCTTGCTCTGAGGCTGAGAGAGTGTGACTTGCTCAAAGCCACCCAGTGGGTTTCCATGGCTGATTCAAACCCTGACTTCCTGAAGTCCTGATCCAATACTCAATCCACACTGCCTCTCCTAGGATTTGCTTGCCCAGATTTTTCATAGGAGGCTTGTTATGGTCTCTCTCTGAGGCTGAGAGTATGTGACTTGCTCGATGTCACCCAGTGGGTTTCCATGGCTGAGTGGAGAATCGAACCCTGACCTCTTGGAGTCCTAGTCCAGCACTCGAACTATTAAAGCACACTACCTCTTATGAGGTTTTCTTGCCCAGATTCTTCAGAGGAGGTTTGCCATGGCTTTCCTCAGGCTGAGAGTGTGTGATTTGTCCCAAACCACCCAACTGGTTTCCATAACTGAGCAGAGATTCGAACCCTGGCCTCCCAGAGTCCTAGATCAACACTCAAACCATGCTGGCTCCGTTTTGCATGGGTCTTTTCCCCGATCTCTTTCCTGTCCATAGTCCGCCCGTCACTCCCACACGGCCGTGGCCTGGGAGGGCTTCCTGGTCCTTTTCGGGGGCGAGTTGTCCAGCGGGTTCCTTGCCAACGACGTCTGGATGTACCTGCCCCGGGAGGGCCGATGGCGGGAGCTGGTGCCCCTCAACACCACCTGGTTCCCTCCGCCCGTCGGTCTGGCCGGACACGCGTCCGCAGTGGTGGACGACTGGCTCTACGTCTTCGGAGGTGAGCTTGGTTCATTCCATTCCAATATACTCTCAACCCTCCATATCCACGGATTTTTTATCCACAGATTCAAGCATCCACGGCTTGAAAATATATGTTTGCAACGGCGGCGTGACTTTGTGTGTGCACACGTTTGCACGGCAGTGTGCATGCACCATTATTGGGCAGAACGTGGCAGGGCCATCTGTGGATACTCCAATCCACGGATGGCACACCTGTGGAAGAAGAGAGCCGACACTAGTTAAAAATATATGATATTAAAAAGAAAAAGGTGATAAACTTCAAATACTAATGAGGGAAGATAACAGTGGGTCAGGCAAATAGGTGTGACCCCTTTTTTTTCTCAGCAATTGGGGACCATTGAGTGATGGACGTTCATCTGGTTTCACACACCAAGGGGTGAAAGAGGGATGGTCCCCAAAGGTGACCAATGTCCTAACCGCAGAGGAGGACAAGGCACCGCAAAATGCAGGACATTACAAAACAAAAGCCAAGAACCCTAATATAAATATTAAAACTCATGCTCCTTAGTCATGCTCAAAATGGAGGACATTCTATTTTAACCAGCAAAACTTGCCACGTATTACTCTTCATATTTGGCTGTGTAACAAAGATAACAATTATGCAACCAAAGGACCATTAATATGTTCCCTTCTTCATATTCTACTACAAGAGTACACCGTGGCCAAAATGGCTTTCCAGAATAAACAAGAAAGTCCACTCCAGTCTCATTCCTTAAAATGTTATCGTTAGGGAATAAGGGAGATCATACAGAATCCTACTGAAATGTAGGATGTGTCCTGGAAAAGGTGGACACCAGGTCGCCCTGTTCCCAGGGGATGCTGTCGAAGCCAATGGAGCAAAGCCGTGCCATGAAGCTCTGGACCATATCCTTCCCCGCTGACCCACACCTCTTTTTCTGCGCAGGCCGGACGGCGGTGGACGTCTTCTCCTCCCAGATGTTCCGCTTCCATCTGCGCTCCTGGCGCTGGGAGATGGTGGTTCCCTCGGGGGGCAAGGCTCCGGCCGCGGCCGGCCACTCCATGATCTTCCATCCGGCCTCTCGGACGCTCGTGGTTTATGGCGGGCACCGTCCCTCCACTGCCAGGTAGGGACAAAGAAGCAGAAATGGCCGTCTGGTGTAGGTCTGCGTGGGGCAGGGGGAGGGAAATGGCGGAATCAGGTGTGGGAGAGGAGTACAGTCGGCCCCCTGTCCCCACGGATTCTGCATCCACTGATTCCACCACCCACGGCTTAGAAATAATTTTTTCTAGACCATATTTTCTTTGCTGTTTTATCTAAGGAACACCATTTTACTGATTAAGACAGCAGAAAAGACTTTTAAAAAGTTAAATCATGTACAGTCAGCCCTCCGCATCCGTGTATTCTGCATCCACAGATTCCATCATCCATTGCTTGAAAATATATATATATATATTTAAATTCCAAAAAGCAAAGCTTGATTTTGCCTTTTTATATAAGGGATACACCATTTTACCATGCAGTTGTGTACAGATACAGAGTCAGCCCTCTGCATCCACGAATTCTGCACCCACAGATTCCACCAGCCATGGCTTGAAAATATTCTTTTAAAAATTCCAAAAAGCAACACTTGATTTTGCCTTTTTATAAAAGGGATACACCATTTTACTATGCTGTTGTATATAATGGGACTTGATCATCCACGGATTTTGGTGTCCAGGGGGGGGGGTGAGGGATGGGGTCCTGGGACTGTAACTGACTAGAATCCTTTCCTTACCTCAGGTTCAGCGTCCGAGTGAACACCACTGACCTCTTCCATGTGGACCTGCGCTACTGGAGCACCTTACGTGCCAAGGATTCGCACCGGGGACCTCGAGAGAGAGCCTTCCACTCCGCCACCGTCATTGGCAACTACATGGTGGTTTACGGTGAGGATGTTCAATACCTATACCTGTACAATTTGCACTTCCTAAATGGGGCCCCGATGCTTTGAAGGCCCCTCTTGATGCCGTGATACCTTCCTTCCTTCCTTCCTTCCTTCCTTCCTTCCTTCCTCTCCTTCTCCCTTCCAGGAGGCAATGTCCACATCCATTACCACGAGGAGAAATGCTACGAGGACGAGATCTTCTTCTACCACCTGGGCTGCCACCAGTGGGTCTCCCGCCACGAACTGGCCCCACCAATCTCCCACGGTGAGGAGATGCCCCCGGTTTTGGGGTGCCAAATGGGCAACGGTGGCTTTAGAGTCACTAGCCAGCTCAGGCCAGCTTGTGTTTGCTTGCAGACCTCTTTGGGGAGAAATTTTGCAATTGCAGCTTCTTCCATCTCAGCACTGAATGTTTCTTGGGAAAAGAGCTTGTAAAGCACAATCTGGGGACGTTACGGCTTCTATCATCCCTATCATCCCTGGCCATTGGCCATGCTGGCTGGGGCTGATGGGAAACACAGTCTGGGAACATCTGAAGGGCCACGTTCTCCCACCCCAAACCCTCCATTTGCAAAGAAAAAAGGCTGATTTTGGGTATAAAATGGTAACCAGGCAGAGTTCTGTACTTTGACTTGATATATATCTCAGTATGCCTTCTAAACCCTGTTGTTACTCCTAACTAGAATAAACCCATTGAATCAGTTGGTTTACATGTGTCTTGATTCGCCATTTCTCAGTAGATTCAATGGGTCTCCTCTACTAAATTATAGGATCCAGGCTCCTATAGAGCAAGGGTTGGGAGGCTTCGTCCACTGCTATGCTATACCTCCTCCAAAATTCAAGACCTATTTTTCCACCCAAAATGCCACCCAGGGCAATTTCACCCTGCCCTTTGTCCAGATAATGTTGCCATATTTTGTGGCCATTTTAGGTCCAGGGAGAGAACTGAAATGTGTTGAAATTGCCCCTGCCTTGTCTGCCCCTATGGTGGGTGTCTTCGGGGCAATTTTTTGCAAACAAATTGTTTCCAGAAAACTCTTTGGAAGCTTTGAAGAATCGTTCTGTGGCCCCTATGTCAGGTTACCCCCACCCCTTATAGGCATGTTCTTTATTTATTTGGTTTTGTTTGCATGGTATATATGCTATAGAGATGTGTGAGTTGGTTCTGTCTCTTCCTTGGTCAGAGCACGAGGGCAAGGCGCAAGCGCAGGCTCGTGGCCGCTACTCCCACGTGGCCACCGTCATGAATGGGAACGTCCTGCTGGTGGCCGGAGGCTACAGCGGAGTGCCACGGGGCGACCTCTTGGCCTACAAAGTGCCCACCTTCGTCTTCCAGGTGCCATCCCAAATGGTAAGCGATCCCATCTCCCCTGCATCCTTCTTTGGCCTATAAAAACCTATTTTGTGGACGTTAGCCCACGGACTTTGTGTCTTCCTGCATGCATTTTTCCAAGAGTTTCTGGACTAAAATCTTCTAACTCTGGGATTCCCAAACTTTGGTCCCTCAAGTGTTTTGGACTTCAGCTCCCAGGAGCCCCAAACAGCTTGGTGGACAGGGACCAAAATGCTGGGAGATGAAGTCCAAAACATCTGGAGGACCAAAGTTTGGGAATCTCTGTTCTAACTTGTGAAACTAGGAAGACACCCCAAAATTTGACACAGTGGAACCTGGGCTTAACTGAGAGCAGAAGAAGTTTTCTGAGTTGGAAGAAGCTGCCATCTAAGGCCTCCCCAAGGCTTTGCTTTTTCCTCTTCCTCTTCCTCTTCCTCTTTTTTAATATACTTATATCCCACCTTTCTCCCAGTAAAGGACTCAAGGCAGTGCACAGCATATTTAAAACAACACAAAAGCATTACAAACACATAACTATAAAATGTGCAAAACAATTTTAAAAGTTAAAAACATTATGCATTGAAATTTAAAATGTATTAAAAACTCTCAACAAACCTTGAAATCTGAATTACACAGTGTTTTAAACCCAACCCTTACCGATACTGTATGACTCTTCGATTGAAATGAATGACTTCTGGCAAAAGTTGATCATAGAGTTGGGTTGGAGTACCTAGAGAGCACAGCTCTCTAGGCATTTTTAGGTCCTCCAGTGCAACTTTATGGTCAAATTCTGCCAAAAGCATATTGCAGAATTGCACTCCACTCATTAAAAAATATTGTAAAAAATAATGTCAGTGTGATGAATTTAGGATATGAGGTTCGTTGTTGGAGGGACTGGGGAAGTCAGGCTACATGGGATGTCACAATGGGATTGTATTTTATATCATCACCATATTGTAAATATCTGGAAAATAAGTATGTTTTATGTGATTATGAAATAACAATAAAACATAAATTAAATAAAATCTTGTTTTCTTTTTAAGATTACTAACTTGCCCAGCAGTTTTTTTGGGGGAGGGCATAATAGGGTTATGCAGCTAATGATGACCTTTTTCTGCCGATTGGCTTGAGGAGCTGCCCTACAAATGGAGGGTTTAGGAGTTTCTGGGGTGAGGAAGGTCCTTTTCAGTGGGGTCTCCATACTCTTTCGTGGGTCAGGGAACTACACATCCCTCTCCCAAGTGGGGTGGCCATAGGAGAGCCTTTTCGGGGTGCCGTGAGGTGTCCCTGAGCAACTTCTCTGTTCTCTCTTCAGTACCACCTGGATTACTGCTCCATTTACACTGAGAAGACCACCTGTGCCAAGGATCCGGAGTGCACCTGGTGCATGAGAGGATGCCAGAGCACACAACCCCGCAACATTGTGAGTATTCATACCTGTGTGTTTGTGTCCTTTGCAAGGATGAGCAGAACTGCAAGGAAAGCTCTTGTGAGGGTAGCGGAGCTTCCAGTTTTAGAGGCAGTATACCTGTTGCTTGGAGGAAATCATTGGTTTCAAGGCACACAACAACAAGAAGCCCTTTCCATTCCTGTATTTATTTATTAGCAGAGAATCAGCACAGTTTTTGCAATTATTGCAGGATGAAGTGGGAAATGTAAGAGCGTCAGGCTCCGTTCTTTCTCCTCTCTCCTTAGTGCCCCAGTACCAGCTGCCTGGGCTTGGCTCGTCTCTTAGTAGATTGCCAGTCCTGCCTGGCGTTTGGTGGTGCTAATGCCTCCCTGCCCCGTGCCCCAGGACCCTTCGGTTGGTGCGTGCAAAACGAGACCTGCATGCCTCTCTCGGGTAAGTGAGCCAAGCTGCACCGTTCTGCCGGTTGGGCCACAAAGCCCACATTTTAATGTTATGCTTCTTTAATGTTATGGTGGGGTAATCACTCTGCTATGATGTGTAATTCACAGTCCAACCCCCCTTCTGCTATGCAGGAACACATAGAATCCTAGAGTTGGAAGGGACGCCTAAGACCATCCAGTCCAGCCCCAATTAGCCATGCAGGAATACATAGAGTCCTAGAGTTGGAAGGGACCCCCAAGAGCCATCCAGTCCAGCCCCAATTAGCCATGTAGGAATACATAGAGTCCTAGATTTGGAAGGGACCCCCAAGGGCCATCCAGTCCAACCCCCTTCTGCCACGCAGGAGCTCTCCCTTGGCTTCTGGATGGGTCTTGAATTCTGGAGCCTATTTGACGCCATCTTTTCCTCTGAAATTCTCCCCTTGGCTTCTCCATCCTCACCCGGTGGCCCCAGAGCATGGCAGCTGCCAAGTGGAGAAGATCTCTGGGACCTACGGCTGGTGGGGGTCTCAGCCCTTCTTCCTTACCTCCTTGGCGCAATGCCAGCGTGACAGCTTCCTGCCCGGACTCCATCTCATCTACTATTACCAGCCGCGCAATGACTCCCAGCCGGATAAGGTAAGTTAAGTAAGATTAAGTAAGGTCAAGGGTATGTGTATTTTGGGGTCTTCAAAGACCCCTTTGCTTATGGCTGCTGTACATCCAGCTTTCTCCAGACATGTCTTTTTGCAGAGCTAAAATTCCTGTCTTCCAGTTTCCTGGGCATATCCTCTTTGCAGAACTAAAATTCCTGTCCTCCAATATCCCAGCATGTCCTCTTTGCAGAATTAAAAGTCATGTCCTCCAATTTCCAAGGCATGACTACTTTATCAGAATTAAAATTCCCATCCTCCAATTTTCGTCCGCTTTTCATTCTTCTTATGATAAGGTTAAGTATGGTGAAGGGAGCGTGCGTTGGATTCTTCAAAGACCCTTTTGCTTAGAGTTGCCATATGGCCACCATTCCCCAGACATGTCCAGAGCTAGAATTTTGGACTGGGCAGATTTTTAAAACCTCTGGTTGTCTTACAAGGTCCAGTTGGGAGGAAATGGGCTCTCAGGTAGCATTGCTCAGAGGAAGAGAAGGAGGAGGAGGAAAGACATGGCAGGTTAAAGCAGGGCAAAGGAAGCCCCAAAGCAACCCCTCAGTCTCCCCAAAAACTTACTCGGGTTCATTTGAAATGCATGTGAACAACAAAGATTTAACCCGGATTCTACCGGGATTATTTTCACTGTCTGAATAACCCCTGGGGTGATAGACCCCTAGTTCCCTGGTCTAAGTAATTGGGGGGTGGGGGTGGTCTTCCTCGCAGGGCTGTTTGGTGGTGGCCCCAGACCGCCTCCGCCTCATCCCACCTTCAGCCGTGCAGGATTCAGATCTGACCTGTGTGTCCCTGCCGTAGCTCTCCATCATCCAGAACAGCAACATCAACATCAGTCCCACCACGGAGGTGGACATCTCAGTGGTCTTCAAGGGCTTCATCCACCCGTTGGTCAGCGGTCCGGGGCTGGCCGAAGACATCTCCATCTGGGCACGCATCCAGCGCCTCTTTGTGACTGCAAAGTTGGCCCGGGCCTCGGGTTCGTTGGAGCTGGTAAGGGCTGGGAAGGACCACTGGGTTGCTGGTGGCCATACTGGTGCTGAAACTGGGAACTTAATGGTGGGGAAATTCAGTGGGGCAGAATCATCCGCGGAGACCAAAATGCCACAAGGGTTGCACTGTAATTGGAGAAGCCTATTCCAATTTTGCAAGTGGTCCTTAATAAAAATGATGGTTAGAAATTGCCATCATTTGGAAATCTGTGGAGTGTGGGTTTTACCTATCAAAACAAAGTCTTTAGGTAGCTCTAAATACTATCAGGGAACTGCTGTGAAGTTGGAGGTTAGAGTCTCCCTATCTGGAATTCTGAAATCCAAAATGCTCCAAAATTGTCCACATGAGTGACTGATGGATTAGTGCCCAAAAACCTTGCTTCATGCACAAAATTATTAAAAATGTGGTCTACCAAATTATCTTCAGACTATGAATGTAAGGTTGTTTGTGAACATCAATGATTGTCCTGTTTAGACTTGGGTCCCATCTCCAAGATATATTATTTTGTATATGTGCAAATATTCCAAAATCCAAAACACTTCTGGTCCCAAGCATTTCAGAAAAAGTGCACATGAAACATACAGGAATTTCCCATTAAGGTTCGGGTCCCGCCTCTAAGATATCTCATTATGTATCTGTGCAAACATTCCAAAATCCCAAACACTTATGGTCCCAAGCCTTTTGGATGATAAAGGAGACTCAAACCTGTATTCCAAATGGAGTCTGTATTGAATGCCAGCCATAGTAAAATGTCCCATATCCTGGATATTTGGTCTCTGAATGTCTTACCGTACATTAATTTATATATATATATATATATAAATGGAAGATGACTGACATAAATAAAACTCAGTGCTGGAAATGGATGTCGCGTAGGTAAGTCTAACATGTTGCAGTGCCTTCTGTTTGCAGAAGAGCTCAATTTGCTATAACAATAATAGCTTTGCAAACGGGGTCTTGCAACCCTTTTGCTTTGCCTTCCAGGAGGAAGTGGGGCGCTGGGCGGTTTACCAGGAGAAAGAGAAGCGGCTGCTTCAGCGTCCGGGGGGCGAGCGCCTCTTCCCCAACACCGAAAGGGGGAAAAAGTACATGGTGCTGGTCGAAGGCTACCTCAACCACTCCGGCAACGGACAGTCGAGCGAACTGGCCCTCACCTGGGACCGCACGGGGGTGCCGGGGGGCAGCGTGAGTACCTTTTGGACCACGGAAGGCATTTTGGGGTGCGGGTGTTCCTCCTCATTTGGGGGGCAGAACTGGAACCGGTGAGCCATCGTGGCGGAGAGGTTCGAGTGTTGGACTATGACTCTGGAGACCAGGGTTCGATTCCCAGTTCGGCCATGGAAACCCACTGGTCAAGTCACACTCTCTCAGCCTATGGGGAAGGCCATGGCAAACCTCTTCTGAACAAACCTTGCCAAGAAAACCCTAGGATAGGGTTGCCTTGTGGTTGCCATAAGTCAGAAACAGCTTGAAGGCACACGATAATAACAACGACAATAGTAATTGGAGTTAGTAAACACACACCAAGTCCTTCAGGAATGGGTTTTACAAGGATTTACTGTGTGAATCGGGGAAGAATAATGACAACTGAAATGACTGTAAGTCTCTTTTCTTTATTTATACATTCTAAGGGTCAGTATCTATTAGCAGGGTTAGAAAAGAAAGACAGTACAAAGGAAAGAAATTGAAGCAGCTCGATTAAGAGAAATTAGGAAGTCAAGCGCATGCGTTAGGTATGAATGTTTGAATGGATGTTTTGGGGGGTTTGTTTTGGAATAAGATGAGATTGCACAAAAGATAAAGTCAAGAATGTAAATTTGAGATTGACGTGAGGATGAAATGGTATCGCTTGTAGTAACTCAGCGCAATATATACTGGTTGAGGGATGATGCTGTGGATGATGGGGTATCCTGATTTCTTACCCTCCTCTCCCTCCTTCCAGGAGATTTCCTACTTTTTCCTGGAACCGTATCGCTCGGAGATGTGTGCCACGTACCGCTCCTGCCTCGCTTGCCTTGCAGACCAGGGCTGCGGATGGTGTCCGCTTAGTGCCACTTGCCACCGCCGCCTGGCAAACAAGGAGGACGCCGGACCCTGCGGGGCGGGCAGCGTGCGCCTCATCCTGACCCCGGGAAACTGCATCTTGTGCGAGGACTACCGAGACTGCCATGCCTGCAGCAAGGTGTGTTTGTGTGTCTGTGTGTGTTTGTGAGTCTGCACTACGGTCTGAGAAAGGTGTGCAACCAGTCCAGCAGTTGGCAGGAGCATTGCCTTTTAAGCAACATGGCTGGACAGGGAGAGAAACCAGGCTTTTAGGGTGGACTTTTGACCAAGGGCGCATCTGTACTGTAGAACTAATGCAGTTTTGCACCATGTGCTGTCGCTCCATCCTGTGGAATACTGCGATTTGCAGTTTGACAAGATCTTTCGCCTTCTGTACCAAAGAGTGCTGGTGTTGCCTTACCAAACTACAAACCCCAGGATTCTGTAGGATGGAGCCCTGGTAGTTAAAGTGGGGTCAATCTGCACTATCTCTGCAGTGTAGATGCACCACTAATGGCAGGAGTATAGCAACAACGAGGGCAAAATTGGGGAATTGCTTCCCTGTAGGAATTCTGGCCCCCAATGAAATGCTCCTTCAGTCCCCAAATTTCTAACCTTGCAGTGACTTAAAACTTCAACTGAATATTTAGAAATAGTTGAGTCCTCCAGAGAAAAGAGGGCAGGCAGAGTGACCCTCAAGGGATGCAAACACAGCAAATATAAAAGTGTTCTAGGGTGGATTATTTTTCATTCTCTGCAATGAAAAAAATTTGGGGAGCAGAGGAAAATTTCCTGGACCGTGGGTGCAAATTGCATTCTGGATTCCTGTCCAGGCTCCAAATTATCTTTTCTTTTCCCAGCCATATATCCAGGGATGTAGTTTTGTTGGAGGGGGAATATTATTATTATTATTATTATTATTATTATTATTATTATTATTATTATTATTATTATTATTATTATCCCACCTCTCATATCCATAGAAAAGAGGCAGGCCAATGACTCAGGGAATGTGGACACAGCAAATAAAAGAGGAGTTTGAGGTGTGGATGATTTTCAGTGTCTCATCCTCTGCAATGATAGAAATCTAGAGATTGCAGGAAAATTTAATTTGGGGTGCAGAGTTCTTATTTAGACTGGGACAAAGGCCTCATGCCCCCCTCATAATTACATCCATGCATCTTTGAGAGAGGAAGGAAACATAAAATGCTTTCCTAAAAAAATTAATGGGATTCTTTGAAAAGAAAAGCAGATGAAGAAAAAGAGGGAGAAAAGGTTGTTGATGTGAGCGAGGCATATACTTTCTTTAAGCTAAATATGTATCCAAAATTACCAGAAAAATTAGTGACCCAAAATCAAAATGAAGAAATGCAGAGGGTAGTGAACACGGCAGGTTTTGTAGATGGTTTCCTGCGCAGTTTTGCTGTTTGCATCGCGCTCGGCTGGATCCGCTCCTCACCGCCGTGTGCCTCTCTCGATCTCGGCTCCAGGATCCATTCTGCGAATGGCAAGTGAACAGCAGCAAGAAGGGGGACTTCCTCTGCAGCCGCCGTGGCCGCCAGCCCAATGCCATCCGGTCACCCAAGGACTGCCCCAAGCTCTGCAACCAGTGAGTGTTCCCGGTGCCCCGAGCGGTTGCGGGTTCAGGTCATGACGGAAAAAGGCATCCATGGCACTTTGCCCCATAGGAAGAGGACTGTCAGATGGATTTAAACCAGCGGCTCCCGAACTTTGGTCCTCCAGATGTTTTGGACTTCAGCTCCCAGAAGCCCCAGCCAGCTTGGCCAAAGGTCAGGAATTCTGGGAGCTGAAGTCCAAAACATCTGGAAGACCAAAGTTTAGGGATCACTGATAGTGTATACCAAATTGATTTGGACCATGAAACTATGATGTAAACCAAATTGATTTAAACCACAGTGTTAATTAAATTGGTTTAAATCAGGATGTAAATAAAAATGATTTAAACCAGGATATAAACCAAATTGATTTAAACCATGATGCAAACAAGATGTAAACCACAATGTAAATCAAAAGGATTTAAGTTGTGATGTAAATCACTTTGATTCAAACTATGATGCAAACCAGATTTAAACCATGATGAAAATAAAAAGGATTTAAACCATGATGTAAACCAGATTTAAACCATGATAATGATGAATTTGATTTAAATGATTATGCAAACCAGATTTAAGCTATGATGTCAATCAGTTTGATTTAAGCCATGATGTATATCAAATTGATTTAAACTATGATTTAAACCATGATTTTAAAAATGTTAAAACAGCTTAAAACCTGTGCAAATTCAGGTGGCATCAGTAGGTCTCAAAAGTCTTTAGTTTTAAAAAAGGTCATATTTTAATATTGGGCTGGAATAAGAGGAGTGTTGATGTCCATTCCATTGGGGGCATCTAAGGGGAAGAAGGCATTCCACAACTGGGGTGCCATAGCAGAGGAGGCCCTGCTTCTGTGTCCTCCCAAGGGGTTTTGTGGCCACTGGAAGGGCACAGAAGAGGACTGCTCTAGCGTACCTCAAACCCAGGGCAAGTGCATAAGGCAGGAGGCAAGGGAGGGATCCTGCTGGAGGCATGTTCTGCAGAGATGTGGTTCTGCTCCTTCTCTTTTCCAGGCGGACCTCGTGCTCCGAATGCCTCTCCAACTCCAGCCAGTGCGCCTGGTGCCAGTCCACACGCAGCTGCTTCTTCTTCGCCGCTTACCTGGCCAAGTATCCGTATGGGGACTGCCGCGGGTGGTACGACAGGTAGGCCAAAGGTGTGCAGAGGAGGCCACAAGTGGCCATGGAGGAAGGAAGCAATCACCAGTTTCCTTCACAGGTTCCCTTTTTGGAAAAGGGAAAAACATGCATTTGGCCCATGGAGAGGGCAGCAAGGAAGGCAAGGAGGTCTCTGTTTCTGCAAGGATTTGTATATCCAATGGTAGCTGTGTTGGCCATGTAGCAAAGTATGATAATGTGCAAATTCCACAAAACAGGGATACCTTTATTGGGCCAAGCAAAATGCACAAAATGCATGTTGCAGGCTCTCCGGCTGACCTCCTCTCTGTCTGTTTTCCTCCTGACCCAGCGTCCATTCGGTCCCCCAGTGCCTGGACTGCACCCGGTTCAACACTTGCCGCGAGTGTCTGCAAAACTTTGAGTGTGGTTGGTGTGGGAACTCGGACAATCCTACTCTGGGCAGGTAAGGCTTGTGTTTTGAAGTTGTGCTTCTTTTCCCTAATGCACTGAAAATCTCTCAAATTTAACTTTTCATTAATAATTTCAAATCCAAGTTGCAAGCTCTTTTAATTTACAGTTGCATTGCAAAGGGGGAAATGTTCTGTGTTCACGTTGCTGGAAAAGGTTGCCTATCATTTTCCAAACACAGGCTCCTGTTCTTTTAAGGGAGAGGAATAAACCCAAAAAGCACAATTTCCTCCTCAAAGCAACACAGATTTAATTGCATGGATTGAATTGCTCTGTGGGATAGAGATTTTTGTAGACACAGAAGCCTCCGATAGGAAGGAAGTTGGCAACCCCGATTGCGGTTGCGGGGTGAGCCATGTCTCTCTTGCTTCCCGTCCAGGTGCCTCTCCGGGGATTTCTCTGGCTTGAACACCTTCCTGAACTGTTCGGTGGCTCTTTGGGAGACGCACGGTCTGCCTCCCACCCACCCGGCCCAGTGGTCCTACGGCCAATGTCCAGATGTGGATGAATGCCGCCTGGGCCTGGCCAACTGCCACCCCTTTGCCAGCTGCAAGAATACACCGGACGCCTTCGAATGCCATTGCAACCGGGGCTACGCCGGAGATGGCGTGGCCTATTGCAACCAGACGTAAGTAAGCAGAGGACGAGGAGGAAATTCTCTTCTTTTTCTGCAGCAGGCAAAATGAGCATTTATCCATCAACCCCCAACTTTGAAGCTCCTTTTTGCAAAGCCCACCCAATTCCCACTTTTCTTCCTTGTCCTCTGTCTGGGTGGAACTCTTTTTTGCAGCATCAACATTGCCAGGTGAAGGAGGCCTGGAAAGATACAGACTTTTGGTGTCAGCGTGTCTGCAGTAAACTCTGCAATAAAGCCTGAGTTGGGAAGGAGCGGGATTCAGTCTTAGCTAATCCAGTAGTCCCCAAACTTTTTCATTCTGCCCCCGCTTTCCTTTTTGGTGACAACCCTAATGCCAACCTCACATCTATTTCTTGATAGTCAGCCTACTGTTCTACTGCATATTCAAAATAACCAATCTAGTAAAGTTAAACAAGTGCATGCATGTATTTCACAAATGCAGCTTAACTTTCTAAAACA